GCTCATTGGTGGCACCATGGGGACCTGCAGTTATGTTCTCACTGGGACTGAACAAGGCATGACCGAGACCTTTGGAACCACCTGTCATGGTGCGGTAAGGAGCTGGGAACTTCGCAAAGTACTGTCTTCAGTTGAGCTCTTACCTTGCATTCTGACAGATAAAGGCACCAGACTGAGCACTAGCAGAGTCGAGCACGGAGTGCTACTTGGGAATTATTCCCCTACAGTACAGTTCAGTGAACTGACTGAAGTCACTTGTGTCCCTACTTAGCAAGGTTATGGTAGGGCCACAGAGACTGGAACGCAGATTTTCTGCATGTCCTGAAAATTCAGGTGGCAGATTGGTGGTCAAGCTGAGCGCACTGTAGCTGGGTATCAGTGATACAGCTTGAACTGATGCAGATTTACAGCAGCTTATCTCCGTGATCGGCTGAAACCGCTCCATTGCCTCATTTGATCCTTCCTGGGGCATCTGCTCAAGTTTTGGGGACGTATCCTGTTTGCGAGTCCAAGTCTCTTTGTCATCAGGACATTGTTTCTCACGTTCTCACCCAGGGATCAGTAAACTTTCTGTGAAGGACCAAGTAGGTGGACTCCCTGGGCCACATGTCCCCTGGACCAGGTATTGAGCCAGCATGCCATTGGAGGGCAGGAGCAGCCACAAGTACATATAAATGAGCATCACTGTTTAGTAAAAGCTTTACTTACAAAATAAACTGGTTTGCCAGCTCTGGAATACCTGCGCCAGAAGAGGCCCTCACAAGTACCTTGTACCTTATCTGCTCTGCCCAGTTCTCATTACCAGCTTCTCATTACTACCTCCCTAGTTTAAGCACAGTGGTTCTCGACCAAGGTGAAGTGGCCACCCATCTAGGGGCACTGGTAGCATCCAGAGGGGTCTGTGGTGCTCACAGCGGGGCAGAGGAAGGAAGTGGAGGCTGAGGCTGCTGCCAAGCACCCCGGTCTGCAAGGCCGGCCCTGCACAGGGCTGCCTGGCTCAGTCAGCCTGCTGAGGGAAAGAGCACAGGTTTTTGTCATCACAGACACCGCTTGCAGTTAACGCTTGTGTAATTGAGGTAGGAAGAGTAATTAGACACACAAAGCTAAATCTTGAGATGTAAAATTCTTCAGGTGAGAAACTTATTTTCTGAAAGGATGTGGGATTTCTTATAAAAGGTACAGACAAAGGTTGATACGGTGAAACAAAAAGTGGTTTTTGAAATTTAAAAAGAACGGTACAGTAGCAGGTGTCTAGTTCTAGCTACTCAGGAGGCTGAAGCAGGACAGTGTAGGCTACAGAGTAAGAGCGCCTCAGATACCAGACACTATGATAGTGTAGAATCAGAGAAAGAGCTTAAACAAGTGCGAGGGTCAGACATCAAACTGAGCTCAGAACTGACCAAGTAGCGTTGGTCCTTTTCTGTTCTAGGGCCGAGCATTGTCCAGAGCAAAATCTCGCCGTAATTTAGATTTCCAGGATGTCTTAGACAAATTGGCGGATATGGGAATTGCAATCCGAGTTGCCTCACCCAAGCTAGTTATGGAAGAGGTGAGTGAAACCTTCCTAAAAAGTTAACTGTAATTGATCATTTATGCTAGTGCACAGAGAACAGTTTTTACTAACAGGCTGTTTGGGCTTTTTATGACTTTTGACTAACTCTGGTTTATCTCACTTTTGGTTGTTGTGTGTGTTTTAACTATGTCTATTTTCTTAATTGTACAAGTAATGCATATTCTTCGGAGAAAGTTCTTAAGAGCACAGAAATTCTAAAAGTGGAGGAGGCCAGCCAAATAGCTCCGCAGATTAAAGTGCCTGCAAGCAGGCGCAGGGGCCGGGGTTCAATCCTCAGGCCTGCCATGCCGGCCCCGCCCCCGGGGCGCGCTGAGACAGCAGTTGAGACTGGGCGTGGTGGCACGCACCTGGAATCTCAGCTCTTGGGAGGCTGTAAACAGGCGGATCACTACGAGTCCGATCTAGTAGTGAGACCCTGAACACCCTGGAGACCCTTCCCTAAAATACAGACAAACAAAAGCAAAGTGGAGTGCTTATCTAACTACTCCTTACCAACACCAAGCATACTTTTTTTTTGAAATTATTTTTTCCATAATTTTATTGCAAACATACTCTGATTTAATTTTTTGCTAATAGGCGAAAGTCAGTCCTCCATGTTGTTTGAATATATATCATATAATTGCAAGTGAAGTCTGTTCTCTTGAAAGAGCTTTTTTCGAGTGACCCGTGTGTCTTAATTCCTCCCTGTAGGCTCCTGAGTCCTATAAGAACGTGACTGATGTGGTGAACACCTGCCACGATGCCGGAATCAGCAAGAAGGCCATTAAACTGAGGCCAATCGCTGTCATCAAAGGGTAGCGTCCCCAGGCCTCTGCACCACCTGCCCTCAGCCGGGTGGGCGCAGACTCAGACACTCTGGACACCACTGACTGACGGCTCTGCGGTGTGCGGCTGTGGCTGCCCATGCTGAATGGCTCCCTGCAGCCATCGTCCAGAAGGAGCTGTGTGGCCTCTTACTTGTCCCAAAGATTTTCAGGAAAATCTGTTGGGGGCAGAAAGGGAAGGAACTGCCTTACTCAGCCATGTAGGTCTTTAATTAGCAGGATGAACTGCACAAAGCGCTTTTACACCCAGTAGATGTCAAGAACTTTGTATTAAACACAGGTCTGGCATGTCTGCTTTCTTGCTGTGTGCCCCATCTCCCCACTGCCCTGTGTTGGCTTTGCACAGAGCCCTGAGCCCTGGGAATGGATGCCCATGGCAGCTGGACAGGCAGGGGCTCCCAGAGCCAGTGATTGGCACTGCTGCCCCTTCTGTGAGCGCACGCCACGGTGACTGCCCTGCTGCCTGGTGTCCTGGAGGAGCCGCGGCCGGCCCACTCCACTGAGTGTCACTGTGCACAGCTGCAGCAGACCCTCCAGGCACATTGCCTAGCTTTGCTTTCTGGCGGGATCGTGAAGCACACTGGAAGAACACAGCTGTGATGTTAGCGGTTACTCTGCTGAAAGAAGCCCAGGCTCGAGGTGTGTGACACCCCTGGCGGAAGGAAGGTACCATGGTGAAACTGACCCAGGGCCTGGTGGGAAGGACCAAGGTGGCACAGACACGAAGAGGGCAGGGAGCCCCGAGCCTGGTGTGAGGCATGCCCTGATGGTGCCCAGGAGCCATGGAGACACCAGGGCCTAGCGTAGGAAAGGAGCGGTGCTATGCAGGGACCTGAGCCTCTCCCGGGTTGAGACCCAAGAGGAGTGGGGCTGAGGCCGGGAGGAGAGGGCCCTGGAGGCACAGAGCGACCTGAGGTGGGCAGGGACTTGGGGACACAAGAAAGCAAGGAGTCGTGGAGGAAGCACCTATGGATCTCAGTGCCATGGACCAGGGGAGGGACCCTTGGAGAGAGGAGCAAAACAAGCCTGGGGAAGAGCCCCAGACACAGGAGCAGGCGGGGAGGTCCCAACACTGGTAGGAAACCCCCAAGGGCAGTGACCACAGTGGGACAGAGGACACATGGGCACCTGGAGGAACCCGAGCTCAGGCTGCTGTACCTGACATCTAGAGGAGGCTGCGTAAGCAGGAGGATCTGACTCCTGAGGAAGATAGCTGAGTGGGGAGCAGACGGGGACTGGCCTGGAGAAACGGGGGTGCTCCGTGGAAGCTTGGAAGCTGAGCCAGCATGAGGGCAGCCAGTGCCAGGCAGCTTGGGAGATGTGGGCTCAGAGAGGCCAGGCGGGACTGCAGTGCAAGGGGGCGTGGGGCGGGGTGAGGCTGCCTGTGGGGGCCCAGGGTAGGGGGGGTGAGCCAAGCAAAACACCCTTGGCAAGGAGGGCCAGAGTCCGTGGAGGCCCAGGTCCTGCTGGCAGGGCAGAACTGCGGGGTGGAAGCCAGCCTGGCCACAGCCCAGCAGGAGTGGTGTGATGACCACTGCCCAGAGCCTGCACACCCACAGGCGGGGCCGAGTGCAGAACACTACCCTAACAGGCAGGCAGGTGCCGAGCACAAAGTGAAGGCCGCTAGGCTGCTCACTGGGCTCTGGAAAAGACAAATCCTAATATTTTAGGGCAAGCCCTGAGCATTGTGGAGACAGAACCTGGGACTGCTTAGAGCAGGAGTCAGTGCAGGACCTCAGGAAAACCTGCCCCTCAGTGAGGCTGTGCAGGGCAACAGACCTGCTCAATGTAGGCTGAGCCCTCCCTCAAGGCCCCCCAAGCACAGCCTAGCACCGTGATCCTCCGTTGGGGCCCAGATCCCAGTCAGCCATTCTGCCACGTGTTCCATCGTGCACCCGAGAGGAGGTGCACGTTCCGCTCACCTCTCCAGGCCTCAGGAAAACTGGTGCCTCAGGAACCCAGGACTGCAGGCAGGAGTGCATTCTGAGGGCTGGGGGAGGACCACAGTGTAGAGAGCCAGTCGTTCCCCAAGAGGTACTGTGTATCCCTGCAGGTTAGTGGGACCTGAACCCCAGAACCAAGCTCTGCTGCCAAGCCCAAAAAGGGGAGCTGCTCAAGTAGCACAGCGTTTCCATCCACCGTGTGCTTGTGCGCCGTGACTAGGCAGCAAGCACTGTGCGTGCCCCCCTTGCTCCGACTCCTGGCTCAGCTGGGTTTTCCAGTGATGGGGACCTGCAGACCCGGAACAGCTGTCTTCCCATTCTTATTACTGAGGAGCTGGAAGAAGTTGGGGCGAGCCGCCTTCTGGGCAGGAGGGAGGAGGCGGCTGGAGCTCCAGGGTCGCCTCTCAGTTCTCACACCAGGAGACATGGCCCAGCAGGAGACGCGCCTTTATCCAGAGCACGGGTCAGACTCGGCTCCGTCACGACCATCGAGGGAATGGTTAATGTTCTACATTCAAAGACCCCTTTGTTATTCAATAGTTTTTCTCACTAAACTCACTTCTAAAGATATTCCCCATAAAGGTTTTTTGGAGGGAGGGGTACCAGGGATTGAACTCAGGACCTTGCACTTGCCAGATAAGCGCTTATTCTACTGCGCTTTCTCCTTGGCCTTTTTTTTTCCCTACTTAGGAAAACAACAAAAATCTTATAGAAATAAATGTTCACCGGGAGTGACGGTGCACCCCTGTGAGCTCAGCTGCTGGCAAGGTTCAGGGGGAAGCAGTCCAAGTTCAAGCCCAGGCTCAGCCATTTGGCAAAATCCTGACTCAAAATTTTAAAGACCCTTACAAGGGCTGAGGGGTTAGAACAGTGGTTGAGCACCCCTGGGTTCAATTCTTAGCACAACAAAAATTAGAATGATCGAATCAGCACACAGTGCTGCAGCAGTACGCTTTGTTACTGTCCTGTGCGCGGCAGGAGTCAGCTGCCTCAGGAGGGAGCACCGCGGCCCCCAGCAGTGAAGGTTGGGCCTTGTGTCCTTTGTGCGTACCTTCTGTGGTGCTGGTGACTAACCCCCGCCTGGCGCATGCCAGCCGAGTGGTTTGCTACTCCCCTCTGAAGTGACAAGCTGACAAGCTTAAATTTCTCAAAAGCAGTAACAGTGCCAGAGAGATAGCTCAGTGGCATAAGCACCTGCCCGGCACGTGCAAGGTCCTGAGCTCAATCCCCAGTACTGGGGGAAGAAAAGTGACATCACACCCGACAGTGGTCTCCGGTACTGCTGTGACCAGCTTGCACTTGAGATGTAGGTATGACACACACTAATGCTCGTGATTTTAACTCAAGAAAGTTGCCTTGAGACAGCTCATTGCCCAAGCTGGCCTGAACCTCCCACCCTGATGTTCTAAGTGGGAGCCAAGGCTCTGCTTCCTGCCACTCCTGGCAGTCTGCCCGTCTGCTCTGTTGAGGGTGGCCCCTTGGTGACTGAGCTAAGGTTCATTTCCAAGTAATCATGCTCTACTTGGGCACAGTTGCACACTGCGATCTTCTGTTTCTGAGAAGTCCGGCACTCCTAGGCATGGCTTTTGGAGGGTAACTAATCACCGCCAACAGAGCGGACTTCCGGTCAGGAGATGGGTCCTGGTCAGAAGAGGAGGGCCCCCCCAGGGGCGTGGCCTGGAAGAGTCCCTGCCTCTCCCTGAAACCAGCCAACTATGGACCAAGAGCTCTAAAACCACGAGTCCAAATAAACCTCTCTTCCTGTAGGTTGTAGGTGTTGGGCATTGCATCTCAGCAATGAGAAAATGACGTAGGGGGGGGGAACCACGAGTGGGGTCATTGCTGTCCCTGACCACGGGGCTTAGAAGCCTTCAAAGTGCTCCTGGGAGGCGTCCAGAAAGGATGAAAGATGCAGGGCGAGAAGCCCTAGAACGCTGCAGGCCAAGCTTAGGGGCAATGCCGGCCAGAGGTCAGAGTGCTGACGAACATGTGATAGTGAAAGCCAGGCCCCAAGGTGTCAGCTGGGAATGAGGACCCCAGGTGCAATTAGGTGCCACACACCATGTGGTATAGGACCCCAGGTGCAATTAGGTGCCACACACCATGTGGTATGCTCCCACTGAAAGCTGGCCTCCATTTTGTTCAGGACAGGACACTGAGGTTAAGGATGGAAGACCAATAAATCTGGTGGAGTAAACTTCTGGGCAGCTCACTGTTCAGGCTGTGGCATGCGTACTGTTGGCAGCTTCTAGTCAGACCTTCCTTGAAAATCAAGAGCCAGTGGTGCAGCTGGTTGATTAAAATGTTTGGAGTTTCACCAAAGAAAGAGCCTGTAAAATTGGGGCCTGTAAAATTCTGGTGAACTTGATCATGGAAAAGATTTGTGTTAAAAGAGCCCCTCCTCCACTTTTATTGAGACAGTGTTTCCTAAGATGCCCTGGCTGGGCTCTGTGGCCCACCCTCCTGCCTCTGAGCTTGGTGCAAAATCTGTGTCCACAGATACTTTGCTGAGGCAGGGTCATGCTGTGTAGTTCAGTGTGGGTGACCACAGGAGGGTGACCTCCTGCAGACGCGAAGGGCAGCACTGCAAACTGCTCCCCTCCGGCAACACGCGGCATGCCGGCATGTTGCAAGGTCCAGGGATGAAGTCAACAGCTGAGATCTGGTTTGGAGAACTACTTACCTGGGTGCGCTGCAAATAATGAGAAAGATGAGGCTTCCGTTGACCTAATTGCTTGCTCCCTTGCTGCAGCTGGATGAAGCTGAGGCGATCCACTTAGGGCTCTTTGTCCTTAGAGGCAAGGGTCCTTGGCCCCTCCTTCAAAATTGTGTGTCTTGTCTCAGTCTCCATCAGCAGGTCTTCCCCTGAGCACACAAGCAGATAGCTAGGAGAGGGTTTAAAGCCAGTTTGCCTACCCAGCCAGCCGGGGTAAAGTACACATTCGCACTCAGGACAGCAGTGAAGGGCAAGGGATGGCTCTACAGTGGACTGATAGCAAAACCCATAGCAACTTTGGGCTCTCCTCTGATGCCTGTTGTCTGTCCTGGAGTGGTGAGAGATGGTAGAGGGAGGTGGGTGGAGTGGTCCTGCAGCCAGCCACCATCTGCAGAGTGGAAGTTAGCTGGTCTGTTTCTAACCAACTTGGTGACACATGGGATTTGTTAACTTGTTTCTTTGAAGATGACAGTAAATTCAGGAGGTCTGAAGCAAACCTTTGCATGAACAGAAACAGCTCCGAAAGTGTTGGGATCCTCCACCTGGCTTCGTGACTGACTGGTCCACGGCTGGGTAATGCTGACCCGGGCCTGCCGGCTCTTGGCTCTCACCTCCGTGGAAGGCTCTGTCATGCTCAACTTGGGTGCCCTAACGAAGCCCCGTAGACCAGAAGGCTTTAGCAACAAAGCAGAAGTGGCAAGTCTGAGGTCAACACAGACAAGTTCTGGTGGCATCCCCATCTGGACAGCAGGCTGCTGCCCTGTGTATCCTCACACGGTGGCGAGACGGAGACAGAACTAGGTCTCTTTAATAAAGGCACTACCAGCCGGGCATGGTGGCACATGCCTGTAATCCTAGCACTCAGAGGCTGAGGCAGGAGGATCACTGCGAGTTCGGGAACAGCCTGGACTATAAAGTGAGCTCAAGGCCTGGCTGAACTGCATAGCAAGATCCCGTGTCAAAAAAAGGTCAATAAGCCGGAAGCAAGATTTATCATGTACTGGCACACATTTCCTATAATAAATGTCATTATTATGTATATATCTAAAATGTGCCAATAAAACATTTTTCAAATACTAAAAAAAAAAAAAAAAAAAGTCAATAAACAAGGGCACTACCATCACCGCGGTGCTTCGGCCTCCTGACCTGATCACTTCTGAAAGCCCCCTCTAACGCCATCACCTGCTGGGTGAGGTTTCCACAAACCGTCTCGGCGTGCTTGCACCCATCAGGCAGCCAGCAATTAAGGTCCACCGTCCAGGATTGAAGCAACGCCACCCTGGGTCTAAAGCCGCTTCTCAAAGGGGCAGCCACCATCTTTCCAGATCCAGATGACAGAGGGGATCTCGTCCCCTAGGTCCCCGGAGGGGAGTGGCATTTCAAAGCACACCTTCAGGCCTGTGTGCCCCTCACTTGCTGGGGAGATGATTTCGATTTCCATTTCTAATCAACAAGAGAGCAAAACCGATGTCGCCCGCTGCTGTGCAGCGGCAAATCCCTTGCTCCGGAACGTGCTTTTTCTGCACCAAGGTCAGGGCGCCTCTGCCCTTCCACAGTAGACGGAGCGCGGGGGTGTGCCGGTCCCGCAGCGCTGCGAGCTCGGGGGCTCAGGACCTGCGCCTCCTTCCGTGTTCCCGCGTCTGCGGTGCAGGCAGCAAACGCTCCAGGACGGGAGCCGGCCTTCGTAGGCGTCGGTTCTACTGTTGCATGGAGGATGCCCGGCTGTGGACTACGGTACATTTATTTGTTCACCTATATGTAAACCTTAACGGCATATCTTATTTAAATCAAGAATCCCAATATTATCATTTCAATGCACAATTCAGATAAAAGTGTCAGTGGGTCCCCAACGAGCTGCAGAAGCCAGCTGTCTCCGGCCGCCAGAGTCCCGCGCGCGCAGGCGCAGGGGTGGGCGTGC